TGTGTCTCCAGTAGTGCAAGGTACATTACCACCATTATCTGAGTAGATGGTTCGATATAATATTGTTGCCAACGTCCAATTGAATGGCTCGTGATGACTAACTTTAGCGTGGCGGACATTCCTCCGCAGTCTGGGTCCCTTCCGCAGATCCCGAAATCTCATTCATGGATTGAGAATCAACCATGGCAGGAGAGCCGCAATCAGGGGATAGATCGAGTTCGCGATCGTCCTCTTTCGAGAAGGGCTCGCAGGACTATCGCTTGACGGTGCTGGAGCCTGAGCATCACGACGACTCCGACAGCAGCCAGCTGGTTGTGATTGGGCGGGAAAGCTCCGACCTGCGGCCCGATGCAGCCACGAGGGAGCCTCTGCTGCCAACCTCATCTCCGTTTCCAGATCACAATCGACACCATGAGCCCGAGAAATTCTCATGCTCGATATCCGGCATTCGTACCTGGATCAAAGGTCCGGTCCCGCCAGTCGAGTACAAAATCACTCCATGGCTAGTCCGCTGGCAGACGGCCCCAAGCCGTTACATTGAGCGTCTCCTTCCGAGCACACGTGCCAGAGTTTCGCTTCTTGTGGCTTGCATCGCCCTGTGGGGAGTAGTGTTTTTGACTATTCTGCACTTTTCCATCACCGGGCAGGAGATTCCTGGATATGGAGCTCCAGTCAAGCTATCGTGTCATGCACGACTATGGTACGTCCCCCTACTCGTTTCTTCCACATAACCCGTTCTCACAATCCCTTGCTCAGGTATAACTCGACAGAGTGTGGTCTCGACGGAGAGGCCTGCCGTCCGTTTGATAACGGTGGCTTTGCCTTTCGCTGCCCCGCCAGCTGTGCGGATGCGATTCTGCTCGAGCCGTACGTTGTCGGGCCTGCAGAGTACAACTACCGTCCGCTAGTCATCGGAGGATCCGTCCAAGACAACTCCACTGCAGACACTGCAGCTAGCCTGGGAGACCCAGGCATCTACCGCGGCGACTCAGCCATCTGCCCTGCGGCACTCCACGCCGGCCTGATCGACAGCCAAACCGGCGGCTGCGGCGTGCTCCGCCGCACGGGTGAGCACAACGACTACCCATCCGTCTCCAAGAACGGGATCACGAGCATCGGCTTCGCATCATCCTTCCCGCTCTCCTTCACCTTCAACACCGACCCATCCGAAAGAACCAGCTGTCGCGACCAGCGCTGGCCGCTCTTCACCTTCTCGCTCATCACCACCACCCTCCTCTCCCTCTGCACCACCTCTTCCGCGGGCTTTTTCGCCTCCGTCTACTTCATCGTCTACTTCCAAGTTGCCCTCTCCTCGGACCCGCCGTACTCCCCGGACTATCTGGAAATCGTCTCCACCGCTCTAGGCCGCTTCCTTCCGTGCGCTATCGTCGGCTGGGCGATCTACCACTTCGCGGTACGGCGCACCCTGGCGCACAACCTGCCCGCGCGCTGGGACCAGACGGTCCTCTGGCTGGGCCCCTGCTGGGTCGGCGCCCTCAACACCGACACCTTCGACAAGATCCCGATCTCGCGCCTCACGCCGCACGACCTGCAGCAGCAGCCCGGCGCCATCCCCGCGCTGCTCATCATCGTCGCCTGCCTGGTCCTCATCGTCCTCACCCAGGCCCTGGCTTTCCGGAAGGAAGGCCGCCTTCCGCAGATGCTGACGGTCTATGCCGTCTTCGTCGCCGGCCTCGTCCTGCTCCTCGCCGTGCCCCACATGAACCTCCGCATCCACCACTACATCCTCAGCCTCCTGTTCCTACCCGGAACCACCATGCAGACCCGCCCCTGTCTCGTGTACCAGGGCCTGCTGGTGGGTCTGTTCGTCAACGGCATCGCCCGCTGGGGCTTCGACTCTATCCTGCAGACCGGCGCAGCGCTGCTGGACGGCGCCCAGCTGGGCAGTGTGTTGCCTGTCGTCGGGGCGCCGGTTGTGCTAGGGGTCAGCCAGATCGCTTTCGCGGTCGGACGGGATGCGCTTTTGAACGGCACCCGAGGGCCGTCGCTGGGAGATGGGGTGAGTGTTTTGGTTAATGATGTCGAGCGGTATAGAGGCTTTTGGTCGGATTTGCTTAGCGGTGCCGGGGCTGGTGATGCTGATGCTGATGGTGGTAATGCTACGGCTGCTACTGCTGCCGCTGGAGAGGGATTCTTTCATTGGACGAGGCTGGCAGACGGCGAGGATGAGTATTTCCGGTTCGCGTTTGTGCGGTTGAACGCCCTGGGTGGGTTTTGGTATGAGGATTTTACGAGCCCTGGGGTGTGGACGAGGGAGGGGGTGTGGATGGAGTGGGAGGGGATTGAGAACGATCAGGATGGTGATGGTGGTAGTGATGGTGGTGGGGAGAGGTGAGGCAAGGAGAGGAGTGGTGATGTTTGACAGATATTTCCGTATTCTAGATTGCTATTTCGTTTATTGAGGTCCTTCATCGGGGTATCTAGTGTGTAGCTTGTGTACCTAGTTCAATTCCTTCTACGTTGGTTGTTGATGAGTAGACCTAGCGTGTATGTGCTGCGGTGAACAAGGGTGAGGGGGTGGTTATACCAGAAGAGGGCCGCAGTCTTATACTCTAAGTCGACGGTCAGGTAAATGTACACAATACATCCATTCGACTCAACCATGCTAATTCCACCAATTCGAACCGGAACTCACAAAAACGCCGTGCACATGCATATGCATACCCAATCATTCCAGACACAATACATCCTCTCCAGACCAGCAGAAGAACCATGTATGTATATATATAGAAACCGAAGAGATCATCGCCTCTGAACAAAAAAACAAAGACATTGCCAAGAACAGTCTACTTCTCCAGATAGTTGTTACACCGGACCTGGATGACCTGCTCGCCCCCGTCGGCGATGACCAAGGCGGTCAGCTCCCCGCCTTTGACGCAGCCCGAGTCCAGACCCTTGGTGTAGGTCTTGATGCTGAGGGAGGACTTGGAGTCGTGGCCGTAGATGACGGTCGTGGCCTGGGAATCGGTGGCCTGGGCGTCGGCGTGCTTGGTGGACTTGTAGGTAAGGGATTGGTGCTTGTTAAAGAACTGGAGGCGTTCGGTTGTTAGCAAGCACCTCGGGTGCTTTTGAGATACGGCGGGAACAGGAGAATGTACCTTGGTCCACTTCTTCCCATCGCGACTAGAACTCGGGAGGTGAGTGTCCAGATCGATCGTCAGCATGTTCATCACACTGAACGGATCTTGCTTGTCGTAATCCACGCCGGGCACCAGCCCGCCATGCACCACGGCAACCTGGCCCATCGTGGGGATGTGGCCAACGTTCAAGATCACGGGACAGGCGTCCAGCCACTCCGCCTGCTCGTCAGTGAGGTTGCGGGCCAATTTGAGATCTTTCTGGGCCCCGGACGTCGATAACCCGTCCATGTACTCGTCGCCCGACGTGTCCGTCATGGCGTCCATTTCCACGAGTTCTTGTCGCACCAGCAGGACGCGGTCTTCGTGGTTGCCGCGCACGCAGGAGGCGGAATGTTTGCGGGCGAGGTCGACCACGCCGGGGCTGTCGGGGCCTTTGCTGATCAGGTCGCCGGTGAAGATGAGGTGGTCGGTCTTTTCATTGAAGGTGACTTCCTCGAGGAGGCGTTCCACTATTCCAAGCGGAAAGCATGTTAGCAATTGAGTTTTTACGATGGAAAGAATATAATAGTTAGGTTCGTCAAAGGACAATACGCACACTCCATACGACACCCATGCACATCCCCCACCACAATCAAACGTCTCGTGCTCTCTCCGCCCAGTTTGGGCGCCGCCTTCGCCGGCAGCAGCGACGGATCCAACGCCTTCAACTGGAGGACACTCTCGAAGCTCGGGAGCGCATTGGTCCCATACCACCCGCCCACCGTCTCCTTTGTATTCGGGTCCAGCGACTTGGTCAATTCCGAGTGCTCCTGCAACCGCGGCGACAGCACGAACTGCCAGCCCAGCAGACACGACAGAAACAGTGTGGTGTAGATGATCGCATAGCGACGGAAGCGCGGGGCGGCGACGATGGACAGGACCATCTGCACCCAGCGGGGCGTTTCTGAGCGGTCGGGCGACGAGCCCGACGAGTATTTGGTGTTGGATTGCCATTCGTTGCGCACGTAGTCGATCAATGGGCGCGTATATCGTTTGACTCGGCGGGTGGGATTCAGTGCGTTTTGGAGGAAGGGGACATCGTCGGAGCCGTCGGAGGAGTAATCGAGGCTTTCGGTGTCGTGGTGGTAGTGGAGATGATGGGTGGATGCCATGGTTGGTGATGGCCGGTTAGTCGTGATTGCGGCGGCGGTCGGGGATGGCTTCTGGACACTTGATCCAGAGAATTTCGAAGACAAAAACAAAACAAAAGGACCGGTCTAATGGATAGGGAAGAGGGGACAGAGATTTACAGGGTCATAGAGAGGCAGATTGTAGTCTAGGGGAGAGGGGGGGGTGGGTGGTGGGTATGGGTTTGATGGTGGTCGGAGATCGTCAGCCTCGTTGGGGAAGTGAGTAAAGTGAGTTAAGGTACGTACGGGTGGAAACACTGGAAAGATGGAGACTCAAAGTGTCGGGCGACGCTTTGCTGCAATGGGATTCGACCGCGGGTCCCGTGGCCCGCTATTCCTGGTGGGGCTTAGTGCCTTGGTCCTGCCGCCGAAGGGACCAGACCCCAACCTATGCCTCTTCCGGCTAGTCCACTGCTATCTATATCTCCCTCCGCCATAACCAACGCTGTCTGTCTGACGTTGGTTTTCCACTGTACCGGCCTTGCCCTTTGCCTGCTTTTATTTGATTGTTTGATGTCCACTTGGTCAGAATCACTCACACTGACACTGGCAGCTCAAGGACCATTGCTGGATGGATTATATGCTTGATTGAGCAGATTAGTCTGGTGATCAGTTGCAAACAACTATATCCGCGCCTCACCCCGGGGGAGAGAATAGTCACAACGCACTGACCTGCATCACGAGATTGATGTCTTACACGATCTTGGACAACCACAGCACATGACGCTAAATGATGACAGCTTTTACGCCCCTTGAGATGTTGGGAAAGGAAGCGGGGTCGACCATGCTTACATGCTTCTTCATACTTTATCAGCATCAAAATCCCCGCCACCAATTCCAACAAAGGACCTCATAGCTTCCACGCATCGTCATGTCTCCTACAATCCGGATCGCCATCTCTGGCGGTGGCCTAGCGGGAGCATCACTTCTCCACGCTCTTCTCCCTCATAAACACTTGGATGTGCACATCTTCGAGTCAGCCTCGGCTTTCGGAGAGGCTGGCATGGCTGTCGGGATCGCTCGAAATGCGCTCACCGCTCTCGAACTCATTAGCCCATCAGCAGTACAATGCCTCGAAGCAGCCGGAGCTGTTCCCATGCAAGGAGTCCGATTCATGCTCGCTGAAGGTGAGGACGCGGGCGCCATGATCGATGAGACCAAAGGCGGACAACGTGTGACCAGCATCGTCCACCGCGCAGCGTTCCTACGGGAATTGCTATCCAGCTGCCCTCCGGAACGTATGCATGCTTCTAAGAAGCTCGAACACTTCGACACTAACAGCGATGGCTCCCTCACGCTCCACTTCGCGGACGGCACAAGTCACAAGTGTGATATCCTGATTGGCGCGGACGGCATTCGCAGCACGGTTCGTAGGCTGATCCTCGGCGTTGACGACCCTGCAGCTTCTCCCCGAAATACCAATGCGTGGTGCGTCATGACATTGCAGCCGACTGCCCGCGCCCAGGCCAGCATCGGCACGGGGCCGGTTGGCATTGAGGACGACGCTCGCGAGTACATGTGGATTGGCAACAGGGCCTACTTACTGCACAACGTCTTGCAAGGGGGTGAGCTGGTGCAGATGATTATTGCCTCGTACGAAAAAGATGTAGAATCGTCGGACCGCTGGCATCGGACCGTGAGTGCCGAGGAGATCAGGGAGCTCTACCACGGCTGGCCGCCGCATTTGTCCAAAGCGGTGGAAGAGGCAAGCTAACCCTTTCTAATTCTGCTCTCTTTGACTCAACACGCTGACGGAGAGCATATAGCTACTTTGTGAGCAGCCTGAACAGCCCGCCATGTACGTTTGGGAACACCCACCCGCAAGGACCTACGTGGCTGGTCCTGTCTGTATTGTGGGCGACGCTGCCCATGCCACAACGCCCTGGCAAGGCTCTGGTGCTGGCATGTCTATCGAAGACAGCCTGATCCTTTCCACGTTGCTCGGCCGCGCGCATACCGCCGCAGAGGCGCGGACTGCGTTGCAGGCGTACGATCAGGTCCGCCGCCCGCGCACGCAGCGTATTGTCGAGTCGAGTGGGGCTACCGGCCGGATTTTATGCGGATTGGGAGAGGAAACGAGATTGGACCTGCGCAGTCTGAGATCGAGCTTGTTGCCGAGATGGGACTTCATCATAGATTTCGATAACGAGAAGCACCGTGATGAGGCAGTCGAGTTGATGGAGCGGGCATTGAAGCCTGAAGGTATAATTTAGTTATGCCAGTGACAATATCCGACCCCCCCTGTAAATCACACGGAGCTTGAGTTGTGCAAGGCTAGAACCTGGCTACAGGGCAGGCTTGGATGATACTTATCTTCCTACGCGGCCAAATTAGGCTAATTGCTTGCTAAACCCAATTTGGCATCATAAAAATACCGTGTCATGTAAGAATCAATCAGTATTTACCCACTCGCTATACAGAATCTAATCTATCACACATATACAAAAATCGAGTTCGTGGTGATACACATGAGCGGAAGCGCATCAAAATCGTTACCAAATGATAAAAGGTCGAGCTTACCGATATTGTTCGTAGAACTCAATCTCCTTCTGGCGCTTCCGCACCATCTCGATAGTCTTTTCATCGTACAGCTCCTCGAGCTTCTTGCCCCCGAGCAGAACCTCCTTCTCATGTCGGGTGGCCTCATCCTTGGTCATGCAGACCAGGTTCTTCATCTCGACCGGCACATAGGTCTGGCCCTGCTGCATCCACTCCGGGTCCGGGGCGAAGCCGCGCTGTGGCCGCTCCCAGGGCACCAGGCAGACGCGACTAGGCAGACCGCTGACGGCGCTCTTGCCGCGCCAGATCTCGTCGACCAGGTAGCCGGCATCATCCTTGCTGACGGGCAGGCGCAGGCCGACGAGGGCGGGCCCGTACTCGGCGCGGGCCAGGCGCTCGTGGGTGCCCTGCAGGGCGGCCAGGACGCCGTCGTACAGCTTGTCGCGGCCCTTGCCGCCGATACTGTAGTCCTGCGGGTACCCGGCGATGGCACAGATGACGTGGTTGGCGAGGGTGTAGCCAAACACGGCGGGCATGGTGCCCAGCACGGGCAGGATGCGCGCGCGGAAGTCCGGCAGCACGCTCAGCTCGCCCACCTGGCCCTTGGAGAACTCCTCCTCGGCCAGGGGCAGCAGGGTCGCCTTCCCGGGGCCCGGCTTCTCGGTCGAGAACACCACGGGGATGCCGGTCGTCACGCCGAGGAGCTTGAGGCGGCGGCGTGTGCTGCGCGACAGCGGGTCGTCCGTGCTGTGCGAGATGTCCCCGACCGTCACGCGGGTGGGGTCCGACTTGCACCCGGCGCCCATGGCGGAGATGACGGGGATTCCCTGGGTGTGGCAGTAGTGCAGCAGCTCCACCTTGGAGGTGATGTTGTCGATGCAGTCGAGCACGAAGTCCGGCCGCCGGCCCTTGTCGCTGTCGTTGTGCGCCCACGGCGCCAGCAGCTTTTCGGCCACCGACCCGCCGAACAGCTCGTTGCGGCAGTCGAACTTTACCCACGGCACGATCTGCTCCAGGCGCTTGCGGATGCAGTGCACCTTGGGCGTGCCGACGTCCGCCAGCGTCGCCAGCGCGTGCCGGTTCAGCGACGAGAGCGTCACCTGGTCGAAGTCGATCAGCCGGATCTTGGAGACGCCCGAGCGCGCCAGCGCGGCCACCGCGTGCGAGCCCACCCCGCCGCAGCCAACGACGACGATGTAGGAGGACCGGAGCTTCGCAAGGCCCTCGTCCGTCAAAAAGACGCGGTTCCGGGCGAGTTGTTCGAGGATGAGGTCTAACACGGACGAAGCTCGTTAGCGACGAGTGGCCTTTTGACTCCATTAAGGGTGGGCGAATGGCATACCATCATCGTAATCGCCTTCTTGTGCTCGACGGGCGAGAGCGGCACTGCGCTCGTCTTCTTTGCTCAGTTGCGTGGCGGCGGAGACTCCATAATCTGTGAGCTTAAACCACCGGAATCAATTAGCTTTTGGATGCTGCAGCATTCTTTGGAGTATATGTACCTTCTCTGCATGATGTTGTTCGTCGATACTCGGGATCGAGGCCTTGAGCTGCTGGACGGCCTCTTTTCGCCGAAGCGCCTGGTAGCCGAGAATGACGCCAGCGACTGCGGCGCCTGAGAGCACGGCCGTAGCAGCCAGCTGCGACTGGTGGGAGCTACCCTGGCGCTGAAGCCAGGATGACATTTTTGGTATTTTATCACTATTACCCGTTTAGGTCTCGGTTTCGGAGTTTGCTTCGTGGGTTCGTGGGTAGGATGTAGGAAAATGCGCCGACTAGTGTCGCAAACTATAGCAGAGTCAGAAATGAAAATTCCGGCGCATCAGATTCAGATCGTATTGAACAAGGGCGAGTTTATCTGTCAGGAGAGAGGGATTGACACACTAACCTCGACACCCCAGATTTCAACGACACAGGTCCCCTTTGCGAAGCGTTACGTAGTTCCAAGGCAAACTTGAAGCTCAAGTGGAGAAACCCTCGCTGCAGAACTGACGTAGATCACGTGCTTCCGCGATGACTTTCTCTGCCCGCGGGCGCGCGTCTCCGCAACACGCAACCAACTCCCCGACGCGGTTGATCATCCCTGGAACGGTGTTTTGATGAGAACACCCAAGGCAGCAATCTCTTTTCTATTCAATAAGAACCAATCCACATCTCAACTAATTCTTGACGCAAATCTCCTACCCACAGGCAAGATTTCCACCATCCCGATGACGAGAACACCACACAAAGAGCTTTATCTCATGACACATTTTCCAAGGGACCAGCATACCTAGGTCCGGGCAGTGGACTTCATCCTTCTAGCACCTGTGCTCTGGAATGGAAGAAGACATCTGTCTAGAAGTGTGAGTGATTGAGAAATTGAACAGAGATCTAAGGGATTCGTGGAAGTCTCGCCGTGTAGTACTTCTTTTCCCCTGTGTAGGTATGTTTGTCTTCTTCTCAGCATTGGATTAATGTTTTTGCTATACTGTGATAGAACCTGCGCTGTGTGCGAATATTGAAGAGGCTACCACGTCTTTTGACAGACCTGTGGCTTTCTCAAGAATCACCATACTCCACAAGGTGTTGCACCTGAGCAGGAATGTCGTTACCGAAATTAGCAACTCCTGTCTCAGACACATCGGAAGGATAAGCTTGCACTTAATGCGGTTTCTCGGTTTACGACGTGTCAACGTCGTGTACACCACCCTGCCTTCTACGGGAATGCTGCTGCCCAGGCGAGAGCCAGAGAGGCCAGAGCTGGAGAACGGCCCGAGTTAGAGAGACAAAACCAAACAGCTAGAGCTAGAGCGCCAGCGCCAGAGACAGGCCAGAGCCGGGCAGCCAGAGCTAGAAAACAAAACCAGACGGTTAGAGGCAGAGAGCTAGAGCTAGAGCCAGATATAGCCAGCGCTGGAGAGCTGAGCCAGAAACTGGCCAAAGCCAGACAGCCATAGCTAAAGAGCCAGGACCAGAGCCAGACAACCTGAGCCAGACAGCTAGAGCCACCAAACAGGCCAGAAAAAGCCAGCAAACGCACGAAAGTCACTCACGGAGAAAAGAGCAAGAGCAGAAACAAGCTAAAGCCACAACTAGTCCTGAGCCAACTGAAGCGATAACCGTGAGGCCTAAGAGCGCCGACACCGCTACTTGCGTATTTATCGAGTCATTCACACGGGTTAAGATGATGACCTCTAACAAGGTAAACATGGTTCGAAGGTTGAAGGCACCACCTCGGATTATCATCGAAGAAAGCTACTATCAAATCATGCTTCAACAGACATAGAACACCGGTCACCAAAACGAGACGATTGTCCACGAAAAGTCTGAGCACCATACCCATGCGATATCGCGAAGGTGCAGGCAATCAGTCGGTGACCTAAATCTCGAGACTAAACAACAACCGCCAGAAGCATCCTCTGTTCAACTGTAGCATCACACCATCAACGCCGACAGCGAGGATTTTAGTGCAGCTGGAAAACCTCGCTCACTCGGTCCGACCAATTTCTCATGCCCCATGCAAGAATCAAGCGACTAAACATCTACCTTGACCTATCGCCTGTCAACCCACCTATCCTTTACTGCTCCTCCATCCTCCCTTCCAAACAACAAATCACACTGCCCCCGCCTGCCTATGCCGAAATGATGACAAACCATTAAGGACTCCGAGGCTACATCACTTGCTCCGCCTGTTCGCCTCCCAAAGGTAACGACGTCGAGCATCCGCCGATGACGAGGGAAAATTCAATAGTAGTTTTCAATCTGATCAAGGCGCGGCATTCACCACCACACTCATCATATACTAACCAAGGTCTGCAGGGGCTCGATGAGAACTCACGTGCTTTAAATAATGTTCATCCAGCAAGACCACCACCCTACGACTGACACAACATAGCGTCCTAGGCCACCCGCACTTGATGCAGTGCGATGGCATATGACTTCGTCTGGCTCATGTGGCATGCTGAGTAGATGAGCTCACATCCACATTCTTCCAGACCGCACTGACTCATTTATCATGGAACATCCCCTTTACCAAACACAACCCACGAATCATCCCAGCAGACAGACCATGGCCCGGTGACGAGGAATTTACCAAAAGCCAAAGTTGTATGGTATCCGGCCGATGGTGACACGTCGTGTTGCATCTACAAAATCAAGCCTGGAAATCAGTGAGAACCTGAGAGCTAATCTGAGGGCCATGCAAGTCTGCTTATTGATTCCTTTTCTCCCGAAATGCTGTGGAAGGTCATTGATTCGAGAGGGTCTGTGGTTTAGTATCCTTATACAGTGCCGTACAAGCTATTTAATACAGACAGTTAAGATCGTTGATAGGGTCGTCAAGACGTCGCTTCGTATTTTCGAGTGTACAGTGACAATGGCTACAACTCATATACACACTGGCTCTTCCATAAGAGCCCTCAGTTCCATGCCGTTGATCCGTTAATCGTGACACATCACAGGTGATCTGTATAAAAGGCGCCGGCCGCCCTTCCGAACTAGAGTGAAGCAGGGGTAATAGTCGAATTGGCATGAATCGCAATAGCGGCGGCATGCAAACACCGCAACTTGCCGCAGTTCGCATGAAACACAATCCGCGTGCCGTCGCGCGAAACGGTCGCGCCCCCGGGCGACTTGAGCCCGAAGTCACCTGTCTTGAAGAGCGCCCGGTCCGCGCGGGTGTAGGGCCCCTTCAGCGACGTGGCGTAGGCGTACTTGACATCGTACTTCGGGGAGGTGAAGCAGTGCGAGGAGAAGAACAGGTAGTAGATGCCCTGGGCGGTGCGCAGGAGGTTCGGCGCCTCGACCAGTGGGCCGTCGCTCTTGTCGTTCTGGAGGATCTGGACCGGGTCGCCGACGGGGGTCACGCCGTCGGCCGCGAGCTCCTGTAGGAGGATGGGGACGGGTAGCACGGGCTTCTTGCCGTTGTTGCAGTCGCCACCGTGGCCGATGCTGTTGGCGTCCGCCTTGTAAACGACGTAGAGCGTGCCGTCGGCGTCGCGGAACGGTGACGGGTCGATCGCGCCGCCTTGGTCGCGCGGGCAGGCCAGCGGTTTGCGCTGTGGCACGTAGGGCCCCAGCGGGTTCGTGCCGTTGGTGACGGCGACGCCGACGCAGTGGTGGTAGAGCCAGTCTTTCAGTTCGCCGCTGTAGTAGAGGACGTATCGTCCGTCGTCCTGGGGTTTCGTTCCGTTAGCAAGGTATTGGAAATGTGGGTGTTGGGGATGAATGGCAGGAGTTGTAGTACGTACGCGTTGGATCACGTCGGGGGCATAGTGGTTGATGTTTGTCTCCCAGTTGCTCAACGAAGGCATCGCATCGTGCCCGTTGAGCAGCTTCCACGAGCTGAAGTCCCTCGACGTCGCGACGGGTACGTGTGGCACTTCGGAGTTGTTTTTCACTGCATTGGTGCCGTAGGTATAAAAGGTGCTGTTCACATGGAGTAACCCAGGGTCTGGAAAGTCCGAGAGAACTTGAATCGGTTGGTTTGCTGCGTTGTGATAGCTAGGATCATCGTGCGATTTGTTCCTCTTCACCAGGACTACGGGCACCGTGATGGCAATGACGATTATCGCCAGCGCGAAGAAGGCTAAGATCGACACTGTCAGGATCTTACCCCGCGTCCAGGGTCTCGGGCCCCCGGCGGAGGAATCTGACGACGCTGCATTGTCGGGTGACTTCAGTAGAGATATACCCTTCTCTGCGCCGGATTCAGGCTGTGTAGATGGGTGTGTAGGTGTAAATCTGGTGCTTGGTTTTGAGGGCGCCCTGAACAGGCCCCAGATCCCTTTCGTTCTCTGCTGTGTCTCCATGTCCGCCTATGTTTCTCACCATGCCCCGGCTAGCCGGAGGGTATGATCGATCGTACCAGGGTACTATTCATGTGCGTATGCAACGGTAGCTGAACCCGATCTATTCAGGGTTATAGCACAATCAGATGGAGTTTTAATTAGAAAAGGCTACGGTGTTTCGCAACGCGGGGTCCCGTTTCAGACAGAGGATCGCGGCGCGGATGGTAATCTAAGGCAAGCACGCAAATTGGCGTCAGCATAGCGAGAGGAACTAGCTGACCATTTCCAAGACGTCAGTTGGCTGGAACGAACGGCCACCTCTGGACCCCGGGATCAACTCAGTAGTACTTCATGTTAGCCAGTCGCCTCTTGCAGCTGCGGGTTAAGCATCCGCTTTGACTCAAAAGGATGAGCGCATTGATTAGATCAGCCGCCACCGGGATCATGATGAGGTCTTTTCTTCTGTATAAGGAATTTGTGCCTGGAAGCACATGCTTATTGACTACTGAAGTATAGGTCAATCCTTGATGGTCCATCACTTATGCTCAATTGACTATCGTCAATAGATGGTGCTGGACTGACTGTTTTCCCGTATACAGCCGGCTCAAGTGTAGAGACAATCACACTCGAAACATGGGCTAGAGGGAAAGGACCTTCGGACATAGCACGAAGTGTCTTGTGCTCAAGGTCAATGACGTTGTCGAATGGCGCTGATCAGATACCGTAGCATTCAAGCAACCATAATCGAGAGCTTCTCTTCCAGGGTTGACGTTCCAGTATTGTTCATTATCTTTCATGAGATCTGTTAAAAGGCTTTTCCGTGGTTACAGCTGTGTACCGCTTTCAGTAATTATCGGGTCTGGGAGCCATCTTCGGCCACTCCCGGGTCGAGAATGCTTCCACGTGTATTATAGGAAGCGGTATTGTCCTGTAAATTGCAGCTGTAGATCGACGGGCTCAAGAATAGGACCTGTGGTAATCTAAGACTCGAGACGGTTGTTGTAGAAGGACAAGCGCGTGGGCGAGATTCCTTACTAAGTAGTAAAGCAATTGAGCCTTGGTCAAGTGCCAATTGTCTGTGAGTCGGTGATTGTGAATAGGAGATAGCTGTGAATGGAGGAAATACCAAGCACATGAAGCGGGGAGAAAGGGCCAAAGGAAGCGGGAGTGACAACCAGCAATCACACACTCTCACACACCAGCTGCAGCTGAAGGCTTGTTTCCTTTACAGCCGAAGGGCAGGGCCAAACAAGCGCCGAAGCCAAGTCGGATCCATGACGCGGCTTGCTGGAGGGTGACGCAACCCCTTTCCGTATGCCTTCCACCACGTTCAATGCGACCGGGGATATTCTTGTCACTCCCGTATCTCAGACGTTCCATAGGTGATCATCACCAGGAGCCTGAAGATATCCTCCGTTGACTCAAACCCCGAGTGTAACCTTTGAAATGTGGTCTGGAGTCTGGAGCCTCTGGACGTCCGGCAGACAGCCTTGCGATCGCAGGTGGATCTGACGGTAGGGCCGAAAACGGCGGTGCAAACCGATTGTGCTGTGGGGAAACAAGGAGAAACAGGAGAAACAGGAGAGTGTTGCAACCTCAAACTGCTCGATAGTCAGGTACACCCGGCGACTTGACCTGTTCCATGAATGAAGCACGGTAGAATTGTGTACTTGAGCTCTGTAGTTCGTGCGAGAAAGAGAGGGACGATCATCTTCCCGTTACAGGCAGAAGACGATAGCACCAAGGTTGAGGTTGAGGTTGAGGTTGCAGGGACCTTGTCTCCCCACCATGGGCGTGGATAGCCTTGTGAAAAGACACGAAGACAAAAGGAAGAAAGACCTATAAGAAGCGACCAAGAGCCAGCTGGCCGCGTCTCTGTTGCGTGGGATGTGCCGATGTCTGGAGTATGAGTAGGAATGTTTATCGGGAAGAATTGACAATTTGACGCCACCAAAAAGGCCGTCGCCCCTCCCGAATCCGCGGGCTCCACCGACCAACACCAAACAACTTAACTCTCTCCCCTCTCCAAACGATTCTCTTCCATTTTTCCCGCGCTGGTGTCGTACAACCGACGCCTGTCTGGATTGACCGGTCTGTTTTCAAATATCTTATCTTCTTTCTCGCCCCCATGGCACGGTTGCAAGAGCCCTAGTTCACTTATCGCCCCTGCCGGCCTTTTCAGCGAACGCGCAATCCACCGCACCGGGTCGCTCTGACGCCTTTCTGACGACGACAACCCTTTTTGCTGGGACACTTACGGCTTACGGATTACGGATATGCACAACCGGGGACAGTCCCGTGGAAGAGACATCAATTGATCTTGGACCAAGATTGACATTATATCGGGGAAGCCTGCGAAAGTGGGAAATAAAAAAACTTCGGGGGAAATTCCTGGAGCTGTCAACGGTAGCCCGGATCAAGCCGACTGCAACAACAACACCTTCCCCCTAATTGCGCCACGATGCTCACCTTTCGCAAGTCGCTTTTTGCGGCGGTGTTGCTAATCACCTTCATCGTCTTTTTCCGATCTTCGCATTCCTCCCCGTCCGTGTCACCGCCGGTGCCCGCCTCCGCCGCGAAGGCCTACGACGATAGCCAAACAACGAACGACCAGCCCCAGGGGCAAAAGCCGGACAGTAACAAGCAACAACCCCTCTCTCCTCCTCCGAGCGCCCCATTGCGCGATCGATTGCGCTATCACTTCCCGTACGATCTCGACGGCAAATTCCCCGCATACATCTGGCAGACATGGAAGTACACTCCCGAGTCGATGTTCTTTTCGGAGGAACTGCGTGACCCCGAGGCCAGCTGGACCGAGCTCCACCCGGGGTTTGTTCATGAGGTTATTCCCGACGATACCTTGCGACATTTGATCAAGTATCTTTATGGATCGGTGCCGGACGTATACGAGGCTTTCGAATCCATGCCTTTGCCCGTCCTCAAGGCCGACTTCTTCCGGTATCTCATTCTTCTGGCGCGGGGCGGGATCTACAGCGACATTGACACGACTGCTTTAAAGCCCGCGTCGGACTGGCTGCCTTCGGAGCTGGATCTGACGACCGTCGGGGCTGTCGTCGGGATTGAGGCTGATCCAGATCGTCCTGACTGGCACGACTGGTATGCGCGCCGAATCCAGTTCTGCCAGTGGACTATCCAGGCCAAACCGGGCCACCCGATTTTCCGGGACATCGTCACCTACATCACGGAGGAAGCGCTGCGAATGAAGAAGGCGGGAATCTTGAAAGTCGGCAAGATGGACAAGACGATCATGGAGTTCACGGGACCGGGGGCCTGGACCGACGCTGTCTTCCGGTATTTCAACGATCCCGAGTACTTCAACATCGAGCCTGGTTCTACTTCGAATGTCACTTACGAGGACTTTACCAACTTGGAAGGGTACAAGAAGGTGGGAGACGTGGTGATATTACCTATCACGAGTTTTAGCCCGGGTGTGCATCAGATGAACGCAGGAGATATCGACGACCCGATGGCATTCGTCAAACATAATTTCGGAGGTCAGTTACCGCTGCCTTTTGTGCTTGTCACTCAGGATGACTTACTAATACTTTGATAGGTACATGGAAGACCGACCCGTCTCTCTAAGTTGGCTTCTCTGATCCACATATTCAACCCGTCTTGGGCGCGGCGCTCGCTGCTCGAGATGACGAACTTGGGCGCCTATTTTTCGACCTGGCGACTGCCTTAGATGCCAGTATCGATTTGGCCGATAGACCGACAACCACAAGCTCACAAGGAACAGCCATCCAGGCTGAGCTCCTCGAGCAACAACCGAAGCCATGAACATGGCTAATGTACTTTACTCATTCCAATCTGGCCTGCTCTGTATATTCCGACCAGACAGGACTGACGCCATCCGCCACGATAGGCTCTACCATCATGGCAAGTCCATGACAAGGACATAGCCTCTACCCTCTTGTGCAACTGTTGGCAACGCATACCACGTCATAGACATGCCAACTGATTGGCCATACGGTGAACAAATTGCACCAAATCCTACTCGTCCCTTCTGACGAGCCCAAGTCCTGCTTAGGACAACCATGCTTGATTCTGCGTGTTCATATCACGATTTCCCTTGCCTCAGGCAATGTTGATTTCCATGTCGTGGGCTTATTGGCTATTCATGTATCTATGTGACTTTTTCTTCCACCCAACTTATATCTATTTAACGTTATAATGCCCCACCGGCCTGTGAATGTGATAATATCTTCTTCTGTGCACTTCCTGTTGTATCATCCACAGGGGGATAGTTTTGTGCAGCCACTCGGAGTGGCTCCCGGATTGCTCTGGCTCGCTCAGTCAGCAATCTCTGGGCTCGGAGCAGCTCCCGTGAGGAACAGCCTCTTAAACCGAACTATGTTATATCAAGTATCCACGTACATAAACCGCACACTTCGCTTCTTTCCCACAATTGCTGCCAGTCCTCAAGAACATATCAAGATTTGCACTTAGGATTGATTGTACAGCTTGTCAATTCGCTGTCACGTCTACAACCACAGCACACAATCTCTACATCAGTCGCCTTCGAACAATGTCGGCCTCCAACGCAACCAGCGAGCAAACGCTCAGCATCATCGGCTGCGGTAAGCCTTTACTGTCTTCTGTGCTCCCCTAAAGGAAAGTAAACTAACACGACGCAGGCAACATGGGCACAGCCATCCTCAACGGCCTCCTGAAAGCCCAAACCCAAGCCCAAACCCCACCCCCAAGCACCAGCACCAGCACCCCCCCACCACTCCCCAAATCCTACATCGCAACCACCCGCCGCACGACCTCTTACGCCAAACTCACCAACCAATTCACCCCTTACCTGACCCCGACCAACCCCGACACCCCCAGCGTCACCATCCTCCACGGGCCCCACGCCAACCTGACCGCCATCCAACAAGCGACCACAATCCTGCTCTGCATCGACCCCGCCGACATCCCGACCTTCTTCGCCGACGCCGCCCTCCGCGCCGCGCTCTCCGGCAAACTCCTCATCAGCATCGCCGCAGGCTGGACCCGCGCCGCACTCTTCGCCCTCGTGCCGGACGCCCCCGATCTGCAGATCATCCGCACCCTCCCCAACATGGCCGCGCTCGTCGGGCAGAGCATCACCGCGATCGAAGTGCCCCCGCCGCTTGGCCCGACTGGTGGTAACGCGGCCGGTGAATCCGAAAGTGCGGGCAACAGACCCAACCCCACAGACGCACACATCGCCCTCACGCAAACAATCTTCTCGGCCGTGGGCCAGACGCAGCTCATCCCGCCGGCCCAGATGACCGCCTTCACGGCGGTGGGGGGCTCGACGCCGGCCTTCGTGGCTGTATTCGCCGACGCGCTGATCGAGGGCGCCGTGGCGATGGGGTTCCCTCGCGCGGATGCAAGGACCACGGTGCTGCAGGCGCTGAGGGGCGCGACGGCGTTGATGCAGGAGGGCGGGTTGCATCCTGCTTCACTCAGGGATCAGGGGACGTCGCCCGGGGGGTGTACGATGGGTGGGTTGATGGTGTTGGAGGAGCGGGGGTTGAGGGGTACGGTGGCTAGGGGGATGAGGGAGGCGGTTTCGGTGGCGGGGTTGATGGGGAGGCTGGCGGAAGGGGGGGAGGGGTTTGTTAATGGGACGCGGTAGGTTCCTTTGGGCTTTGGGGTATAGGGTGAACCTTTAGGGTGTGTTTGGTATGATGGTTTGGAAGAGGGAGTGTCTATTAGAAGGTACTATGCGCAATCTGACCAAGTGCGACTATTTTGAGCCGTGCTGAATCATGGCTCCGTGACACGGGCGTATCTACTGAATGGGCCGCTATTTCCATTTGTCACTGAATACGGTTGGAATTGACTCTCCTCGAAGCGGTAGACCTATTATTGCTCCTGTGGCCCAGTCCCGGAACTAGAAGAGCATATAAGATGAATATTCTCTAGCTTGGATGAATGCCTGGTCTGGATTATCCTGAAAGAGCTGGTTGATCTTCTGTTGTAGCTGGTGTGGTTCCATGGTGGTGGCGGTAATAGTAGCGGTAATGGTGTCCGCGCCAACATATCTGCTATCTGCGAGGGGTCTGAAAGCACTTGCTGCACGCGACCTTCTGATTACGGTATGGGGCTCAAATCAGCTCTTGACCTCTGGTTGTCTGGCGATGCCGGAGATGTAGATCTGTGTTGGGGAGGGCATGCTTGGTGACAGGTTTGGGCGAAGGCGTTGCGCGGGGGGTCCGGGATTGGGAGAAGCTGGTAGATCTTCCAGAGATGATTGCCGGGGAGCGATAAGACCTTGGGGCTGGGTTGAAGGTGGTCTGTTTGTTTTTGTCGTGGGAGAGGGGTTGTTATCTGGATTGTTTGTGGAGTTCGCTATGGGCCATGGTCAAAGTTGCTGTTCTATAGATCTAGAACGGGAGCGTACGGATGCAGACCCGAAGGATGGAGCGGCAAGGCTAACCGCTGTTGCTGGTATCCACTAATATTCCTTGCCGCTGCAGTACGGCTGCATTACGGAGTGTGTATCCGAAGGTATTGAAGTATACAGCAGACATCAAGTATAACTCCTCCTTCCCCGCATCAATGCCTCGGTAAGGCAATCTTATCCCAAGTATGTGGAGATATTGCATAAATAGATAATCATAATCGTTACTTGATTCTATTTGATAATGCTCCATGTAGATAGATAATCAAGATCGACCGAGCCCAGCCCAGATCCGCCGCTTCACCTCCGCCTTGAGCGCCTCGTGCTCGGTCATCGTCCTGGCCACCGCATCGCGATTCTCCGCCGCTCGCCGCAGCAGGAAACTCAAACATTCTCGCATACTGCCCCAGTGCAAGCACTTGTAGACGTCCGGGGGTGGCGCCTGTTGGTTCTCGCCGCTCGTGAGCTGCAGCAGGCCATAGGTCACCCCGTCCGCCATCCCCATCAGCTGCCCGAACTCGACCTTGCACGTCGGGAGGTTGTCCCGAACGCGCGCCTCGTGCAGGCTGTGCGCCGCCACCGCGCTCTCGATATTGTGCGTGGCCAAGAATAGGTCGGTGGCGGGGAACGGGCAGCTTGGTGACGTCCCGAACCCCTTGTAGTTCTGCTGCAGGATCCCCCGCACGATCGTGTCGTAGGCACGATCGGTGTCCTCCTTCGTGTCGTGGATCAGGTGTCTCGGGTCGCTGCTCATGTAGGCGCCGCGGACGAGCTTCAATCCCAGGGTGAAGCCCTCTGCGTTGGCGAGCTTCAGGTGCGCGGCGATCAGCTCCGGGGCGGCTTTGAGGTAGGCTTGGAAGGTGTTGTAGATGACCGCTTTTCCGCTACGATTGTACTTGCGCATCATGTCGAGTGTCAGGCTGTGGATGCCCCCCAGAAAGGCGTGTTGCTCCGCATCCATCAGCAGGCGGGCTTTCTTCTCCACCACGCGCCGGCACACTTCGTCGAGTGCCTCGACCATCTGTGCGGGGACGGGCTGCCCTGCGGCAAAGGCCTGCGTCACCTTGGGGCCGGCACCCGTGAGTCTGATTCTTTGTTAGTGCTTTGTGTCATATAGCAATGCCGCTTCTGGAAGACTCACTTCGGGGCAAGGAAGTCTCCCGGGCCAAGCATGTCCACCGTGCGGAGGACATCTTCCCTCCACGCTTGGATATGCTCGCAGGTATCTGTCGATGCAGCCTTTTCCAAGGCATTTGTATTGGCATACCGTTGCTCCTCCGTGCGGGAGTCCTGCACCGTCTCCCGCGTGTAGGTCAAGATCACTCCCTTCACCCCCGTGCTCTTGATCTGCTGGATGGTTCTGTGCACCTCGGCTTCCTTCTCCCCCGCACAGAAGTGGTCGTAGAAAGTCTTTCGCAGAAACCAGTAGATGAGTGGATTTCGCTCAACATCCAGTAGAAGGCTGCGGGATTTGGAGAGAAAGGATAGGATGGACAGACTGGGCCCTAAGAGGAGCGGGTGGGAGGAGACGGTCGTCACCAGGAGGGACCGCAGCAGCACGCCCATGGGGACGACTGAGTGGGCAGAGGCAGACGCTGCGGCCCTCTTGACCTCGGCCGGCGAGTTGGCCACCACGGGGGCAATGCTATCTCCGCTTATGGACGACCGCGTAGAGACATACCGCTGATGTCGGAGGGCCAAAGGAGCTCGGAATGCGGCAATGCCTGTGGTGCCTAGGCTGGAGGTTGCCCTTAAGGAGGCAGACATTGCTCGAGATAGTCAATGATGGTAGAGAGGACTGATGATGTGACGACAGCCTCTCCTCGTGCTACAGCCATCTTTATAGCCCTCTTGTAGGGTTTGCGGGGTACATCATATGCTTGCAACGACTAGGACTGATAAGGATGGGAGAACGATAATCTCAATCCCATCTATTGCTACGCTATCAGACCCCGTGAGCGAGGGCTTGCTGCACATTGAGCGGCGGATTGTCTCACCCATGGCCAGGCAGGCACTGGCTACTCGTGACAGGCCCTGGTTTGACCGTACTGAAGACAAGTCTGATACGGTACGGCATTGAAACACGTCCCAGCTGCAGGGTTATCATCGGAGGAAGAGCCGATGGGCAGTCCACTATTGATTAGAACTCGGCGCTGCAACCCGTCAGTGGGAGCTTGAGGGGTAGAACCGAGAGGACTCTATTGGGGAGCACAGTAGCCCCAGCTAGTAGTATGTACTATAGTATCGGAGATCAGAGGGGCTTGGTTGAAGGATCGCAGTCATGGTCATATGGCATCGACCCGGTTGCTCAGACGAGCTCTCTTCGAAGTATGGACAGCCTCTGGACAAGAGCAGGAGTCACTCGCTGCGAGGGTGACACTGTTGGTACCGGTGAACACTCGAGGACATCACTGAAAGAGGCCAGTTTCCCAGCACAATTCTTGCATAAATCGTGCGTTCAATGGAGCTGATAAGAGAGTCAATCCACCTCAGTCAGAGATAAGATAAGGGTTATGGTTCGATGTTGGTGCAGCAATGTCGCAAGCGCCAAGTGAAGTGAGTGGTGAAGAAGATGATGAAGAAGAAAAAGAAAAAGGAGTGGAAGTGAGAATGTCTCTTTTTGCCATCTCAGCATCCTCTGTGCAACTTTCTTGCTCTGCATTCGAGTGTCTTTCATCTTGACAGTGTCGAAGACCTTGCGACCCCGCATGAAGCAGAGGGAAAGCCGCGAGAAACCCAGAGATTCCGCCCCGCATTTTGCCACGAGCAGCCGAAGACCGCATCAACAACTCTTCTTCCTGCTTCTCTCTTCTTGCATTCTGATTATTCCCACTTGTCCCTCTCAAATCGTCCTAACACGACAGAATCATGAGTGTCAGAAGTCGAACCGGCTGTATGAATTGCAAAAGTACGGATCCCTGCTATCCCCATTGAGCCTCTTCCCATTGTTTCCTCTACTAACCTGTCCCCTCATCTACAGAGCGGAAACGCCGTTGCGGAGGTCGGTTCTCGATCCCGTCCCTCATTCACCCTTGCGCTTGCTTACACGACCACAGAGGAGAGACCTGCGTGTAGAAACTGTGAGGTCCGAGGATTTGATTGCTCTTATCTATTCGAAAGGTCGCAACCAACGCCACTGCGGTTCAAGATCTCACTCGGTATGCGCACCGCCCATCCCCGTGAACTACCGAGCAGCAGTAACCATTTTCCCACAGGCAAAGGACACCGATCCTCTCCGAAAAGACGAAACCGTTGGCAATTTCTCAGCGTATCCTACCATGACGCAGATGTATTGTTATGCGAACAGTATCACCATCTTCCGACACCGTCCTCGAAGCAGAGTAGAGAGCGCGACAATCAACCCGACGATTGCCCAACCAGACTCAACACGGGGCCTTCACCCTTCACAGCTCTCCTGATAGACTGCAGCGAGCTAGAAACCCAGTTATTCCAATACTGTAAGCAAGCTGCCCCCCGTCCCAACCAACAGCAACGACCAAAGACTGAAAGCTCGCAACCACAGATCTACAGGTCATATGCAAAGTCCGAGTCTTCCAAGACGAGCCGTGCAACAAATTCCGCTCGCTGGTCATCCCCTTCTGCTCGCGCCGCAAGCCCCTCTGGTACGCCGTGCTCTCGATGAGCGCGAACGATCGTCGAGCAGAAGAGTCGGTGACGACGACCACCATCAACTACGCCCAACTCTCCCTCTCCTACAAGTCCCTCGCCCTGCAGCTCCTCCGCGAGTCCCTCACGCAGATGGAGGACGTCAACGAGGCCCTCATGACGTGTCTGATTCTATGCTCCCTCGAGATCGCCTGCGGCTGTCGCCCGGACTGGGTGCGCCACGCGCAAGGCGCCTTCGCCATCATCGACAGCTACGCCTCGGCCATCAACCCGGAGATCTTCTTCTTCACCCAGAGCTATTTCCAGTCCCGGGCCCTCTTCTTCCGCACCACAGGCTGCAACCCACCGCGGCATCAGACTACCACCACCACCACCACCACCACCTCCCACCTCCCCCCCGAAATCTTCCCCTGGGATATCTACCTCCACGACACGGCCAACAAAACCACCTATCAACCGCACATCGGCTGCTCGCTCGGCCTTCTCGACATCATCGCGCGCGCCACCGACTTAGTCACGCACAAACAGCACCTGCGGTCGACCGGCACCAGCTCGCTCGGCTCCGAGGGCGCGATGATGCACCAAGCGATGCAGCTGCGCAGCGAGCTCGACGCCCTGGCTGAGGTGTACCCACCCCCCACCAACACAAACAACGAGTACCTGGCCACGTGCGGCCAGTGCTTCCGGCTCGCGGCGGACCTCTACCTCCAAGTGGCCTGCGACATCCCGCTGACGCAGCCAACTTTGCAGAAGCTGCTGGGCAAGCTGCTCGACCGCATCGGCCGGGTCATCCGCGAGGACCAGGAGCGGCAGCTGTTCCCGATGTGGCCGCTGTTCCTGGCGGGGTGCCTGTCGACGGCGGACGAGGCGCGCGTGCGCGTGCTGACCTACTTCTCGTACCTGACGCAGTCGTGGCCCGTGAGCAATGTGGGCGTGGCGCGCGAGGCGATGGAGACGGTCTGGAAGTACCGGGATCTGAACCCGCATGAGGCGCCGGCGAGTGGGCTGGATTGGCAGGGGATTCTGGGGCGGATGAATTGGACATTGGCCTTGTCGTAGTTTTTTTTTTTTTTTTCTTTTCTGGGAAGTGTATGTATGTATGCGTAAATGATAATGATGCAAACGTGATCAATGTCATGTCCTGTACCAACTGCCACTCCTCGTTTCCAAATTAATCAAACATGCAAACAATCAAACACCTTCAACCAAGCCGTAGGACGATAATCTATCTACAACCTCGCCCCAGGAACCGGCTTGATCTCCGCAAACTCCCTCGTCGCCCCCAACCGCCAACTCACGTCGCCGCCCGCCCACTTCTTCCCCGTCTCCTTCTCATCCTCGCCCACAGCCCCCTTCCACCGCCACCGCGTCTCGCCCTGCTGCCCGTCCTTCACCAGCCGCGCCACCCACTCCCCGACAATCGGCAACATCTTAAACAGATGCCCCGAATCCCCCGAACATAGAGCTACACTGCCGGCGGACCCGGGCACGAAATCCACAATGAACTCCGAGTCCGCCGTATCGGCAAACCAGCATAGCTTCTTCTGCACGAACGGCCGCTCCGCCAACGCCGGTAGCGCCTGCTGTAGCAGCTTGCGCATGCGCCGTTCATCCTCGGGGGGCAGCACGTTATCGCTCTCGCGCAGTGTGGGCGGGGGCAGCGAGACGCCCGTGTTCGGATCGGTGTTGATGTACCCGCCGCCCATGGGGCAGATCTTCAGCAGGTTGGTGGCGGGGTCGGGCTCGAACAGGAACCCCAGGTCGCGGGCGTAGGTGACGGGGATGCCGCGCAGGGCGCTGGTCTCGTCGTCCGTGAGGCGCACGTGCCCGATGGACCAGGATTTCGCGACGACCTGCGTGCCGATCTCCGGCAGCAGCGTGCCGGCCGCCGCGCCGATGGCCACGATCACCAGCCGGCAGCTGTGCACTTGGCCGGACTGCGTGCGCACGCCCGTCACTTTCCCGGGGGCGGTGGCCACCCCGCCGCGGAGGAGGGTGGTGATCGTGCCGCGGTCGGGCCCGAGGAAGAATTTCACGCCGACGGCGGCGGCGGCCTCGTAGACAGCGCGCAGCGCGTTGGCCGAGTGCGCGTATCCCGCGAACGGGTTGAAATAGCCCTTCCACCCTGGTAAGGGCCCGTTGAGTTGCCAGGCGACGTCCTGGGGGATCTGGGTCGAGGTGGTGATGGGGAGGAGTTTGTGGGCGAAGACTGGGTGGTTCTTGATCGTTGCGTGGAAGCGTTCGAGGGTTTGGGTGGCTTGTGGGGGGCCGCTGCCGGAGACGCAGTGTAGGAAGCCGGTTTGGTGGTAGTGCGGGGCGTATAGGGGCGTTTTCCAGCCGGCGATGGCTTTCTGTTTTGTCGCGGGTGGTTAGGATGCGATGCGATGCGATGCGAGGGCTGAGGGTTGAGAAGGAAGGAAAACGTACGAGGGTCAGTTCCGTGTACCACGGGTCTTCATATTCGGCGCGCACGATCTTGTTGATGTCGTAGCCGGCGGAGAAGCGGCCGGGGACTTGGTCGTCGCGCTCGAAGACCGAGATATCGGTGTAGCCCTCCGTGGCCAGTTGGAGGGCCGTGGAGAGACCGAACACGCCCGCGCCGATGATGACGATGGGATCGGATTTGGAGACCGGCATGATGGTTTGACAGTAGAATCAGGATGAGGTCGGGTTACATTTCGAGATGTGGATGCTGGCGGGGGACGCGCAGGATATATACTTCTTCTCGTCTCGTCTCGTGGATGATGGAGATCACAAAGTGATCACACCACTCTGACCGTGCTGGAGCTGTACCTGCACTCGCTCGCATACTGGATCCGCGCATAGCTCTCTGATGCAGTTAGTTTATCCCCCAGTCCACTAGGAGGTGGAGCTTATCGGTGCTCATCGCTCATTGTGATCGCGGATCCAAGCATGCGGGTTAGTTTATGCGGTACGGGCGGGATACGCAGCCGAGGATGGAGGCCGTTTTGATCCCGTATCATACAAAGGCGGGGGTTAGCGTCGTTGAGGATCGCCGGTTAGCGTATGCGATATGCGACATGCGATATGCGATATGGACCCTATCATTACAAGTGGATAGATAGGGCTTCCTGAAACCTAAGCATTGCAGTCACTCAATGGGTAGATCATGTAAAGATAAGGGAATAGAGAACACACGGCAGACTGCTGGCCTCCTGGGTTGTCAGTCTTATTTGAGATGATGCAAATTAAATAAAATAAAGCAGGAAGAGAATATTGATCTGCTTAGTCACTCCTGCCGGGCCAAAGAGTTCAGGTTTGTAGATGCAAAGGCATTATAGCTGGTACACAGGAAAAGTGATGATCTAAAGTCTTCCATCATATGCGATCGGACAGCTAACGCCGTCAAGTGAGTGAATAATAGCTTGGTAATTCTGAATCATGAAAGTTGACTGGAAGCGAAGCCCTACATGACCAGAAGCCCTAGAGGCAGACTACGCAGGCAATTGAAGATGCAGAGGATGCAGGGAAAATGTATTGAAACTAAATTCTATCCAAAACTTCAAAACATGATTTCGACTTTGTACAAGTACATAACCGTAGAACAACCAAGCTTACTACTCATTGCTAGGATACTTGAATCCGGTCAAAGGGAAAAACTCCTCCTTGATAGTCCGCGGGCTGGTGAACCGTAGAAGAACGTTGGAGCTACCGGCCTTGTCGTTGGTGCCGCTGGCACGGCTACCGCCAAACGATTGCTGGCCAATCAAGGCAGCCGTGGTCTTGCAGTCTATGAGAGGGTCAGCAAGAAACTCAAGGTGTAAACAAGACAAAAGACTCACTGATGTAGAAGTTGCCAGCGGAGTACCGCAGGGTATCCTCGGCTTCACGAATGGCTTTGCGATCAGCAGCAAACACGGCGCCGGTCAGAGCAAAGCCACCGCCGCTTTGGTCCACCTTCTTCAGAATAGACGACCATTCCGCATCAGGGTAGACATAGACTGTCAACACCGGTCCGAAGATCTCGGTGTCGAACAGAGGGTGATCGATGTTCTTGGCCCGGTAAACGGTGGGGTGGACATAGTATCCAGTGGTGTCATCATAGGTACCGCCGGCAAGCAGCTCTAGCGAGGAGTCCTTGTTGCTGGCATCGATGACCGACTTAATCTTCTCAAAAGATGCTCGGTGGATGACAGGTCCCATGAAGGCTCCCAAATCCTCAGGTGAGCCGATGGTGATCTCATCGATCTCGGACTTCAATTTGGTCAGGAACTCTTCAGCCCGTGATTCCGGGAGGTACAGCCTCGATGTGGCGGAACACTTCTGGCCTTGATACTCGAAGGAACCGCGAAGAGTGTGGTATACGGCGCTAGTGATGTCGGCCGTGGGGTGGACCAGGTGGAAGTTCTTGCCACTGGTCTCACCCACGAGCCGAGGGTAGTCCCTGTAGACCTTCTTGCCAATGTTGGCACCGACTTGGCTGTACAAAGACCGGAAAACGTCCGACGAGCCAGTGAAGTTGAGACCCGAGAACTCGCGATGGTTTAGGACTGTTTGGGTGATCTGTTCCGCATCTCCCGTAACAAATTGGATAACGTTGGGAGGCAGTCCAGCCTCCAGGAGAATCTTGTACACGATCTCGCTAGCATAGACGTTTGATGGGGAAGGCTTCCAAACCACCACATTGCCCATCAAAGCTGGGCCGCTGATCAGGTTGCCGCCGATGGCAGTGAAGTTGAACGGGGAAACCGCGTAGATAAATCCTTCCATGGGCCTGTAGTCAACGCGCCTGGAATATAATCAGCAGCGGATCATTTTTCAGGGAATCCGGTTCAACATACGTCCACATCCCATCCGTGCCGCGGTCAGGCTGCTTCTCCAGCAACTCCGCAGCATAGTTGCAGTTCAGGCGGAAGAAATCGGCAAGCTCGGCAGCAGCGTCGATCTCGCCCTGCCACACGTTCTTTCCCTGACCAAGCATCGTAGCGGCAATGAGCTCATATCGGTACTTTCCAGCCACAAGCTCTGCGGCCTTGAGGAAGATTGCTGCACGATCCACGAACGGGGTATTCTGCCATGACTCCTTGGCTTTAAGAGCCAAGTCGATAGCTTCGTTGACTTGTGCGGGACTGGCCAACGGGTAGTTGGTGAATGTGGTAGCGTGTTCTGCGGGAAGCGGCTGGTCGGTGGCCTTTGAAACGGCTTGCGCCTTGCCATCGATGTATATTTGGCTCTTGAGGGGTAATTGAGACTTTAGTTCCTTCAATTTCTCCTCAATCTTGGCTCGCTCGGATGAGCCTTTCACGTAATCAAGCTAGAGCATGGTCAGTTTCTCGGTTTTGATGTTCGCCATGACGAGTCCACATACATTAGGCTCATTTCGAGCGGCTGGAAGTCGGAAAGGAACGGTGGCAGCACCGCGGACCTGTGTGCGAGAAGTTCGTGCAGCACGACGTACTAGAGAGCGCATGCTAGGTGAGGGCTGGGAGACAGAAAGTTTGAATGCCATTGTGATGATTTGAGGTGAAGAGAGAGGAGAGAAGGTGGCGGTGGTAGTGAGGAGGTAAGTTAATCGTGGACACCAATGAAGATCCAACGACCATTGGCGATGTAATGGGATTCTTATGCCTCATGATTCTCGTCTACTGAGCCGGAGCTGATGTCACTGGATGTAGATCCGAGGAGAGAAAGTGGATCGGTTTCGGGGAAGCAATCCGTTGATGCAGGAGGAGGTGAGAAGGGGAGGAGAATGCGGGGAGTCCAGCCGAGAGATTGGAAGATACAGCGGGTAGACTAACAACCGGCCTCAGATCCCGCTAAGACCTTATCAAGCAACGTATCTACTGATGATTGATACAAAGATTGGTCATTCGTGTCGGACTTAAATCTACCTCTGTACTAAACCACTGACTAAGACTCCCTCATTCGAGCTTGTCATGACCAAGCCAAGTCACACATGAATTCAACTTGTAGTCTAGTCCAGGTGTTGCAGTAAGAGGGAACAATGAGTAGCTAAACTTCCTAATACTGTAGGCAACTTGCTACGTAGTCAACCTTGAAACTCCGCTGAATGTATCACTCTTCATTGTACTGTACACTACAACCGCCCACAGTAGCTCCTGCGATTAGAGATTAGATCAGAAGCTCAACATTCTCAACGTGCGCCTTCTCCTTGTCTTCATACTTCTCAGAAATCAGAGCTTCACAATGTCACCAGATCGGTCGACTCTACAACAAAGCTTCCCTACCACGAGATGGAACAGCGAGTGGCAAAAACACCTTGCTGGCGATATTGCTGCCGGCGCAGTATCTGCTACATTCATTTCCCCAATTGTCACAATCATCGACCGGTCAGTCATTCATGATCGAGAAATTCTTCCGGCTGCTAATGCCAATTGCTAGGACGATTGTTGAACGACTCGCATTGAACCGGCCATTATTGCGAACACTGGGCGTCAACGCAGTCTGCTCCATCTTCCAACCTCGAAAGTTCTACGTCTCGAAGCCGTTCTTCATTGTCTGGTCCCTATACGCAGCTACCTATTGCACCGCAAATGTCACGGATACCTGCATCCACCACCTTCCCTCCGTCACCGACAAGAAATCGACGGCAAATCTCGCCGCGACGCTAAGCTTCTTGCCCACATATGTTGTGAATGTATATCTGGGGATCATGAAGGATGTCAACTTTGCTCAATACTATGGTCGTTCGAGTACCGCCGTTGCAGTCGGTGCTCGCGTCCCACGAGCAGCATATATGTCCCTGCTGTTCCGGGACAGTGTTACCATCTTCAGCTCATTCAACCTGGCGCCATGGATGGCCTCATCCGTCCCTGATTGGGTTGCGACCGGGCCGCACACCAAGGCCATGATCACTCAGCTGGTTTTGCCTGCTGCCGTTCAGTTTGCCAACACTCCGCTACACCTCCTCGGGTTGGACCTGATCGCCCGACCCCAGAGCCAAGGATTAGTGGAGAGGTGGAGTCGGGTCCGACGGGATTGGGCTTCTTCATCAACTGTCAGGGCTGCAAGGGTCCTGCCGGCCTTTGGGGTGGGCTGCATCATGAATACCGAGCTACGAGACCTGTTGCACCACAGTTAGCCATAATAGATACCGCGTTCAGCCAAATACAGTGACACTACCCTTGATAGACAGGTCTGGACATCGCTAGATCACGGTCATGTAGTGGCAAAAAGCCCAACGACGTACGAATCACGAGCACTCGATAAACATCGGTCGTGAACAGCTTCAGTGAACGGCGGCTACGCTAGCCGTCGCTGGGTGCCTGCAGCGATGGAATGGAACCTCCTCGACATCCGAATCGAGGAAAGTGCGGGGAAATCATAAACAGGATGAAGGTTGGGCTTATCTCTTTTTTGACAGCGCATGCACTAACCTCATGTCCAAGGTTTGACTATCCGTGGTTGCAGCCGTCCATCCGCAGCCATTGATATACAATCAACCATGATTGAAAGGCCCCGATTAGCTTCAAGGTCAGTATCGGCCCAGTGGCTGAGTATGCTTGACCTCGAGTCGAACAAGAACCACAAATTTCCACAATACCTTATCGCTCCAATGTGGAGAAGCCCGGACCCCAGCGGATCCGCTGGAGCTGATGGTGGACATTGCAGGAGTCAGCTTTCAGCATATGTCAACCTTGCTAATCAAACCGTTTCTCGTCTTATTGGCCGTGATACTCGCATTGAGACACTTCCCCAGATACGCTATGCTTATCCCCACGTTTCCAATCTGTTTACCGTATCAGAATCCTTTGATATGTGGGCTAGAGTTATAGCTTGGTCATATCTGTCTATAGCCTCCACCCAGTCCAGAACTGTATGAACATACAGTGTTGGTGGTGGACACGGGGCACCAATTGAAGAGGCTTACCAGTATCCATACGTCATGGTAACAAGGGATACCGGTCG